CTCTCTCTTCTCCTCCCTACCCGCTCTCTCTCGCCTAGTCTTTCATCATCCTCGCCATCTCCCTTTCCCGCTCTCTCTCTCTCTCTCACATTCTCTCTCCCCCAATCTCTCTCGCTTGCCCTCACTCTCCCTCGCTCTCATTCCCCCTCTCTCTCCCTCCCCTCTCTCACTCTAGCTCTCACTCGTTATTGCGCAACTTGCAGGGCTACGGCATGACGGGTTACGTCATGCGCACGGAGCAGCTGCCCCCTGGTGAGCGTATCTACGGCACATTTCTGTTCGGCGGTATAGCGTGGAACTTGGGTATCACTATCCTGCCTCTGCTAGCCTGGCTCGTGCCAGACTGGCGGTTACTGCAAGTCACCTTCACAGCACCGGCCGTGTTACTCCTCACCTGCTACTGGTAGGTAGGCAGCAGGCAACGTGGTTCAACCCTATCTCTAACCATGGCATAACATTAGTGTGCAGATAATCCTGGTAACTAACAATACACTTTCAACAATACAGTGTGTATTGTTGAACATCTTCTAACAATACACTGTGCATTGTAGTAGGTACTTAACAACTGTGTATTTAAATCCAATTTCATTTTCCATAAATTGAATAAAATCAATCAAATAATTTCCATAAATTCATTTAAATAAATGTCAATTTCAAGTTTACAAATCAAAAAGTAAACTAATTAAAAATAAAAGAAAGAAGAAGAGTGGTTAATTAGTTAGAGATGTATAACAATAAACAGTGATATTGTTGAAAGCCAATAGGTACGGCTACTACAATAACACTAGTGTATTGTTAGAACGTGTTCAACAATACACAGTGTATGTGAAAGCTCGCTAACAATACACAGTGTATTTGCAACATGCCTAAACATACAACACACTAGTGTAATTGTTATATTAGTTACCAGGATTATCTGCCCAGAGTAAGGAAACCCCTAACAAAAATCCTAATCATATCTCTAAAGCTAGACATTACTGAATGCCGTAACTCTGGACAGTATTCCTCACGAAACACTATTATAACATAAGATATAACCCTACCCCTAACCCTAACCTCAATCATGTACATAACCCATAACCCTAAACCTAACCCTAATCCATGTACATAATCCTAAGCCTAATCCACAGTCGACTCGTCCGAATATAAAATCTTTTCAAGCCGCGCACGCGCACGCACGCACGCCACACACACACCACACCACACACACCACACACACACACACACACACACACACCACACACAACACACACATACTATATAATATACTCTTACATCGTATGACGTGGTAATTACATGGCGACATGCTATTGTTGTTTGTTAGTCGGGTTTCCGAAATCTGACATTGGCCTGCGTCACACAAGTCCCGCTATGACTGAAAGCTAACGCCATCACGCAGAAAGGCTGCAAAGGTCGAAATCAGACGACGCGTCCAGAAATAACAATGTACTATTGAATATCAACAATAAAACGTATTGACACGTATGACGTTTTGCTGCATCTGCTGTTGTCTAGTTATCATTGTGAACGTACTGAGAGAGCCGGAGCAACGAAGACACCAGGCGCAAAGAAACGAAGACAACGAGGCGGAGAAAAGAATAAAATCAGGATACGACAGCGAGGACAGCGCAGAGAGAGAGAACAAACGAGAGCAGATGAGCAAGCTAGCAGAGAGAGAGAGAGGAGGAGCAGAAGATAGATAAGCGACGCGACCGAGCCGAGAGAACATTAGAAGAGAAAGAGAGAAAGCCAGAGAGAGAATGACATCGAGATGCGCCATCATTATCGCGCCGCGAGCGAGCAAGAGAGAGCAGAGAGAGAGAGAGAGAGATGCCCGAGGACGAGAGGAGGAGATGACGACGCGATCGCGCCCCGCACGAGACGAGACGAGAGAGACAGAGCACGAGAGCGGAAGAAGAGAGACGTGAAGGCTGGGAAAGCCTGTATTAGGTCATACACGTCACAAGCTAAACCGTATATCTACAGCGTTGAACGGATGTCACACTAGGACGACAGACGATTTCTGCGCCCCGCAACTCGAAGCTAGTGCCAGTCGCACACAACCACCGTCGCAGCCAGCCAGCACCGCAAGCAGCAGCCAGCCATGAGACTATTCTCAGTGGAGTGTCAGCACATACCAAGATGAGAACGACTCACCACTTCGTGCCTGCAGCTACAGCTGGACTCGCCCAACGTCAGGCGTTAGATCGATACAGCGGTATAGATTTCTTTCAACAAAGCATACGATAATAACCTCGCGTACCTCTCTCCATTCTCTGACCTCAGGTACTTGGTTCACTCATTCCACTATACTTAACTGTCCTATATAACTTAAATTCAGAATATGCTCCCACTTAATTATATTCAATGCCTGTTGTCTGGGGGCACTCATGCTCTCAAAGTCATTCCCTCTTGAAGGCGTATAGTGGCGCGCAGCCGGTTAGCGAGGCCACTATTCATTTCCCAAAAGCAAACACTAATGCGATAGTCCCACCAACAAACCAGGACCATTAATGTTTTTAGCCCCTGCATCACATGACTTCCTGCCAATCTACCTCGGCCAAATATCGAACGTGAACCGCTAAGACAAAGTTTCTATAAACGAACGAACTTTCAATTGGCCTCATTCACCAAACACGAACCCGCTCACCACCAACTTGCAACTGGACACTAAACATTGCGAAATAATAACAATGCATCGCCGCCAAGGCAACTCACGTGCGCGCTCAGGCCAGGCCACCATTGTTTCATAGTACCTGCGAGCTCCTATCGCAACTGGACAATTTCAACGACTTTCTATCCATGTCGCACTGCTAACTAATTCTGCTTTCTTCTTCTTCTTTCTATCTTCTCTCTTACTTTCTTCTCTCTTTCTGCGTTCTTCTTTTTCTGTCCTGTATTTCTTTTTGCTTTTTCTTCCTCTTCTTCTATTTTCATGTTAGTGTCTTACATGACTTTAATAATGCGTATAGTGTTTGTCAATGTTCTACTTGCATTCATACACGCGCGCGTGCGCGACGTTTTTAGGGGATCAGGCAATTGCCATTCCTTCTATACGCGTCGAATCTTAGCGAATCTACCCGCTTAGGAACGTACTCTCCACTGACCTATATAGGATAGCTTTGACCCGCATAACATGAGATTCTTCACCTATTACATCATCTCCCGTGTGTGTGG